GGCAGTTTATTAAGAGAAAATCACCATTATACTATTGCTTGAAGAACTTAAATAATCGGCACCTCCTAATGACACCCAAACAGGGATGTTCCTCCTTAAACCTTTTTTTTTTTCAGGATCACCAATTTCTTGTTACTTAAAGTTATTAAACTTCTATCTGCAGATTTTTAGAGGAAAAATTTTGAGAAGTATCCATAGCTGGAGAAATTATTGGCTAACTATCCTATTTTTAAAAATCTACTATTGCAAACACATGAAAAGTGGGTGTTTTAACAACAAAAAAGTCTATAAAGCTGTTCTGAAAGTTAACCTGCCACAGACCAGAGGGATCTAAAGGGAGTGTTTATAGGAGTGCAAAGGAATCCAGTCATCCGCAGTTGCGGGAGAGGAAACAAGAAATTGTGGAAAAGAAGGCAAATGGTCTTTAACACCCTCTGGTGATGGAATAAGGTTAAGATTTCTTTTCATAAATGAAATCTTGTGACATCCAGTTTTCACCTTGGGATTTTTGGCTAGGGATGAGGATCATGAGGTTTTTAGGAAAAACCATGTTAGCGCTGGTTACGATCTTTCTGGTGAAAATCCAGGATCTATGAAAAACAGTCTCCATGAGAATCTCGCAACAGCTTTTACAGTATTTTGTTGGGTCCAATTACCTGTGGGTAGTAGTAAAATCTGAAATTGGAAAAGGGAAGATACAGACTCCACATGACATTCTCTTGCCTATGCAAGGCCAGGGTTCCTTGTGGAAGAATTCTTCACAGTCATGGAAATTGTTAAGTGGCCTGAATTAATTTAAAGGGACCTTGTGGCATCACATAATAGGTCTGTATGTTTCTTAGAGATGTGATTGAAATCTCAGCCAAATTAAAAATGGTTTTTGCCACTTAAAAGAACCATCAACAAAATGTGGAATCAGTTACCATAGAATAAAGGAAAGGCACTTATATTTCAACAATTCATACAAGCAACACAACTGGACAAAAACGGCCCTAATTCCTTTTTACTTAAACATCCATGTTTGGAAAAAGTCAGGTTAAGTTGGATGGAGTCATAGGTATTTTAATTAAAGAGAGAACACACTGTTCTGGTTACGTCTCTATTTGAAAGGCATAATATTTTTATTCATAGTTTTAAATACTTAACAGTTTCCTTAAAATAATGGACTTTCTCAGAAGTGTTGATTCCCGTCTGTGACCTACAGTGTGCCTTGTAAGATTTAGATGAGTAGATAAGTTAGCAAACTTAGTGCCAGATTTGTCCTGGTGTCATTTAAGATTTTCCTGCTTTTTAGGTAGTTTCCTAAAGAACCAAGAATGCTCTAGAACTTTAGAAGTATGGAAATGCCAGTTTTTTATTATCTAGTAACAATAGGTTTAAAGATTTTTATGGAATCACAGGTATTGTCAACTAGAGTCAGAATCCCAATTGATAGAAAATTTGTTGTGCAGTCACTTGCATAGAGAAGAATTAAAGTAGTTGAAAGTTAGGCTCTAAAACCAGACTGTGGTATCAGGTTCTAATAGTATGACTGGGGTTTAGTTAACTTGTGCCATAGTTTTCTCATCTCTGAAGTGGAGAGAACACCTACCTTAAACTAGTCATGGTGAGACCTGAGTTATACCTCTTGAAAACTGCATGGACTAAGTACTATTAGAGGCTGTTGATCATTATTAACAATTCCTGTAAGAATGGGAGTAAAGGCAAAATTGGCTTGTTATATAAACTTGTATTTCAAAGGTCCCTTGCTTCAGTTACTACTCTTAACATCCATCCCCCTTCTAGTCACTGCTGTGATAAGTCTTTTATTCACTTTATGATATTTATACAGTTTTAGTCTACATTGCTAGGAAAGGAGTTCCTGACTCAAATTTTACAGAATATTGCCCAGGTGCCTCCAGAAAAGAGCCAACTAACAGTACTCTTATTAATACCAGCTAATTTTTAATGTTTCTAATTTGGTAAGGGAAAAATGGTACTTAATTTTTATTTCTTTGATAAAACGGGTTTTTTCATGCTTATTGGGTATTTATATGAATTTTGTGAGTTGCTCACTCAGTCCATTTTTTCTTTGAAGTGTTGGTTCTTTTTTCATATTGATCTGTAAGTTATCTTGGCATATCTTGAAAATATTTTTATCTAACTTGGGTGTGTTTTGCAAAGTTTTAATTGGAAATTTATTCTAGTGTAGACTGTGATGTAAAAATATGACTTTTTCCTTTCCATCATCAGTTGACCAACTGATTAAATTCCTAATCCATTTTTTTTTAAGGTGAAGAAGAGGACTTTCTAATCTCTTTATTTTAGAGAGTGGTTAATTTAAGGGTTTACCTATTAGCCTTTCATAAGGGTGGATAATGTGAATGTCCTTGATTCCTGCAGGCTAGAAAGAGAAGAACAGGGCTCCTTTGGAAGGCTTGAGCAGTGATACTGCGACAGATGACAACTACATCAGGTGGAAGAAAAAGAGCCTGATGGAGAAAACCAAGAATCGAGTAAGGGGTACTGACTAGAATAGAATGTGCCTAGCTTGGCATCTCTTTCACTGGTGGCTGGGCATTGGTGAGTTGCAGCTGTAGGCTATTCGTGGAAGCTGAGAAATTGGGACAGGGTGGAGGGGAAAAGGCACTAAAGGGAAAGAACTAGCTAACAACAGCTTGGCTTTTCTATAGCCTATAAGGAAGACAGAGGCCCAGGAAATGGAGTTTCTGGCTTCTGGTAAAGAGGGTTTTTTTTTTTTTAAAGAGGGTCTTTTTAATGAATAATTGAAGGTAATGATCTTTACACACAAATTGGTAGAGATGCCCGTGAATTCACTGAGAGTGAACTTGAACTCTATCTGTAGTATTTAGGTCCCAGAGAATTAAGGAATTTGATAGTTTCAATAGAGCGTAGATTTCTGGGTTGGCTTTGGGGATGTGTATCAGGAGTGAGGATTTAAAGTATTGCTAATTTTCCTGACGAACGAAAGCCTGGCTATATGAATATTGGTGAGCTCTACTAGGCTTGGTAAATGAGGCAGTCTGATCTAGGAATTTTATTTGTGTGTGGGCAGGAAGGAAGATTAGAAAAACTATTTGGAGCAAGGGTAGAATGAGGTTACCTATCCTGTCATTCACGGAAAGAGGGCATTTTATCTGCCAGAGTGAGCAGCCAGAGGCATGCTCAAATAGGTTTTTGGTAGCTCAGCAGTAAACAATCCACCTGCAATGAAGGAGACTTGCAGGAGACATGGGTTCTATCCCTGGTTCGGGAAGATGCCCTGGAGGAGGAAATGCAGCCCACTCCAGTATTTCTGCCTGGGAGATCCCATGGACAGAGGAGCCCAGTGAGTAACAGTCCATGGGGTGGCAGAGAGTCAGACACAACTGAACAGCAACATGTATTATAGTAGCGCTGTCAGTCAATGGTAGGGTAGAATGGGGGTTGAGGATGAAGAGGATTACAAGTAAATGCAATTGTCTCAATAAAGAGGAAGCAGGCATAGCTGGATTGCCTTCTAGAACAGAAGGAACAAGGTGGAGGTGGTGGCAGGAGACATCTCTTACTTTATATTGATAAACCTACTCTATCAATCTGATTCTTCAGCACTGTGGACCAGCCATGGTGCTGGAGAATCAGATTGCTGTGATCCCTGCCTTCAGGTTACATACAGTCCAGTAGAGGAAAAGTGCATTGTACAAGGGGAGTGCTGAGGATGCTTCTGCATCCTTAGAAGGAGACTTTTTTTTATTGAGAAAATAATTGAGGGCTGCAGTACCAGTTGGGGCTTTAACGGAAGGGAAAAGGTAGTGGTGATGATTTTGTTGCTCAGTCGTGTCTGACTCTGCAACCCCGTGGACTGTAGCCCGCCAGGCTTCTCTGTCCATGGGATTCTCCAGGAAAGAGTACTGGAGTTGGTTGCCATTTCCTTCCCCAAGGGAAAAGGTGTGGTTGGTTAAAAAGGAAACTGGGGCCTGTGTGTTGAAGCGGGAGGGGAAGAGTGGCTAAAATGGCTATTAAATAATCAAAAGAAAGCAAATACAGGAACAGCAGGTATTGCAAGAAATGAGTTGGCTCTTACTCTCAAGAGGTGACAGTTCGGACTGCTTCTGAGGTGGCAGCTTTGTCTGTCATGACCTATTGCAAACAGTCAAACCAGGGGCTCCACAGCCTGGGTGCAGACAAGCCAGTGCTGAAGCTGTGGAGATGCAAGGAACCATGCCGTGGGGTTGCTTACACAGCAGCTAAACAGAGTAGAATAGATATGTAAGGAAGAATCTTAAGGTTTTCAAATAAAGCCTGGGAGAACTATGTTAGTCTGGAACGGCAGGAGGCATGGATGAAGAGTTAAACATGACCTAGCAGAACATTTGTATCTCAGACCTATGGGACATACTGATTTAGACATAGATGTGGTCTATAGTAGCAACTTTATATACAGTTGACCCTTAAACAGTGTGATGATTAGGGGCATCGACTCCCCTGTGCAGTTGAAAATCTGCATATAACTTTTAGTTGGCCTTCTGTATCTGTGATTCAGTATCCAACAATGGATCACATAGTACTGTAGAATTTATTATTTTTAAAAATATGCATATAGGTGGACCCATGCAGCTCAAACACGTTATTCAAGGTCAACTATAAGTGGTTGTTGAATGAATGGTCCTCTGCACTGTTTGCCATTGCTAGCAAGAGTTTTGGTTTCTACTCTTGCCTTTCTCCTTTCTGGACAACATAGACAAGAAAGTTGCAAGAACCCAGACTGGAATTTCCAGGTCCACACAGCAGAGGATGTAATTTTAAGGCTCTGCAGAAGGCAAGATGAGGTATCTGGATTTGATTACAGCCAACTCTCAGTTCCTGAGATTCACCCTGAGCTGGCTTACCTGCCCTCTAGCTGCACCCAGATCTGACGGGAGCGCCCAGAGGTAATGACCACTGGAGCAGGTGGCTGGGTAGACAGGGCATGCCTTGCTGGTTGGAGGTTCATCAGCTTTCCACACTTCAAGCTTCACCACTCAGAGCATGAGGGAGCCACACCCCATTTTTAACTGGTCCAGAGTCAACTTCTCACCACAGGAGAAGGTGAGTGGGCTAAGGGAACTTGAGGGGAAAATGGAAAGAGAGATGTGCTGAGGCAGTTCTTCCAGAGGATCAGTTATGGGAGCCTCGTGTGAAGGGAGATAATTCATGTTGGAGGGTAAGTAGCCCTCATGGGTAGGAAGGTAGTCCACTGGGAGGACGGTCAAGGGGCTGGCTGGGTTTCCCAGCTTTGAGTCAGGACCCTTGCTCCCCAGAACCTTGTATAGATCCACCCCTTGTCCTGTCTCTGCTGTGAGAGCTCTCGGAGGTGGTGGGCTTGAGGCAATGTACCCTGTGTCTTCCTCAGAGGTATAGTGACCTTGGACTCCTTGTCCCTTTTCTGACCAGCTGGGGTGATGGGGAGGTCTGAAGACTGGTGTCACTCGACAAAGGACTTCATTGATAACCAGGGGCTCAGGTTCTTCAGCAGTGGGCCAGTCTTTTAGGAGCCTATCCAAGGCCAGCTGTGTCTTTTCCTGAGAAAGGGAAAGAAGAGGCTCATGTGGCTATGTTGAGTAAGTAGCCTTGACAACCGACTTGCTCAGGCTTCCAAAAGGCCTCGCAGCCTGCACTGCCTCGTCAGCTCGAGGCAGAACACTGTGGGCCCTTAACTTTGGGAGGTGAGAGAGGCAGTTAACATTGTTGGCGAGCCGTGGACTCTTCTCAGCCCCCAGCAGTGAGTCACTATCCCACTAAACCGTCAGCTAGACTGTTTCTGGTGAGTCAAACTGCACCAGCTGCTTTTCCTCTAGCATAGTAGGCACAGTGGGTGCAGAGGAAAGGTGGAGCTTGCATCTGTCTGGGGAGGAGGCATGGAAGACTTTAAAAGGATAACACTAGAGCTGAATCCTGAGAGGTGTATAGTTTTTCCCAGGTAAGGAGCTGGTGGGGAAAGGAGGATTGGTCTACTCTGGAAGCTGCTAGTTCTTTCTTAGGACAGGCACATTAAGGCTTTAGAAAGAGAAGGAGGTCACGTGATGAAGGGACCTTTAAGGGATACTTAAGAGTTCGGGCTTTGATACAACTGCTGAAAGGTTTTTGGCAGGGTGATATCCTTGTCAGTTCTGCTCTTAAGAAAGACTCCACTGGAATAACTTATCTGGAAGAAGTTTTCATCCTTTCCTAGCTACAGCTAATTTTGTCCGTTACTCTTCTTGCTCTGTCTTTCTCAGCATCTAGTTGGTTGCATCTCCTTTCGAAGCTTACTACTGATTCCTGAGTCCAAGTTTAAGCACTTTATTAACATTTCTTTTTATAGGCTTTACTGGGCTCTCCCCACACTTGAAACTTTCTTTTATGCTGCCTGCTTGATCTTTCTGAAGCAGAGCTCCAAAGCCCACTTTCAGGAAGTCCCTAGTGATTGTTCCCCACACTGGATTCCTACAACAGCAAAGAAGCTAACTGTTAGGTTCTTGGCACAAAATGCTTTATACTGTTACTTTAAAAAAAAAAAAAAAAGGGCCAAAAAACCCCCCAAAACATGTCCGTCAGCTGCAAGCAGGGTCCAGATCTTATAGGAGGAGGATAATAAAAATAGCCTTGGTCTAGGGCAATCCCTGAGGACTAATCCCAGCTCTGAGAATCTACAGCTTGGGAAAACTCAATACACCTCTCTGGGCGTTGAATCACTTATCTGTAAGATGCCAAGCTGTGCAAGAATGGTATGATCTATGCTGGTCACTGATGTCCCCTCCCTTGCCTCGAGCATGGCAAGCGTCCCCAAAGTGAATGACAGTGCTGTCTCGGGGGGGACTTCTACAAAGGGCCCTGAGCAGCCAGAGGGTAGGTGTATACCTTTCTTTCCAGAGCATGCTCTTTTCCTATCGCTAAGCAAACTGGCTCTGGCACATTGGTCTGGCTTGGAACATGGCTGGCAGCTGCCAAAATGCTGTAACCACCGCTATGGAAGGATCGCAGAGAGTGAGGATCACCTTGTATTCATAAGGCAAGGCTCTGCCTTTTGACAGTTCTGGCAGTACCAACTGAGGCTGTACCTCAGAACTTTTACAAAGCAGGCCCCCTGGCTGACAAGTCCTGGGGCAAGGCCTCTTGGACCAGTAATAACTCAGGTATATCATGGGAACTGTTTTAAGCTTTTACAAGCTCAAAATGGGTAACATCCCAGTATTCCCTTTATGCTTGAGCCTTTTCCTCTCGAGTTTTAAGACCTTGTCTTTCTGGCCACATTTTAAGAAGTGGTAGGGGGCTTACACGGTGACTCAGATGGTAAAGAATCCGCCTGCAATGCAGGAAACCCAGGTTCAATCCCTGGGTGGGGAAGATCCCCTGGAGAAGGGAATGGCAATCCATTCTAGTTTTCTTGCCTGGTAAATCCCATAGACAGAGGAGCCTGGCAGGCTACAGTCCATGGGGTTGCAAAGGGTCAGACATGACTGAGCAACTGATACTTTCACTTTCAGGGGAATGTAAAATCTGAGAACTCAAAGCACGTTTTGTTGGAGGTGAAAGACGATTGTTTCTGATGTCTATCCCAGCCTGTCACCAGGAGAGCAGTTTGGGCCTTTAAAAATAGTCCACCCCTGCAAGGGTCAAGTGACGTGGGGTTCTGAGGCTGCCACAAGGCGATGGCATGTTTAATTTTTTTTTTAATTTTCTAATTTATTGGGTTTTTGTTGTTGTTGTTGTTTTTGCAAAAGAAATATAGGGACATAGTCTTGTAATTTTTTTTTTCTGTTCAAAGAGAAGTTGTAATAAAAATTAAGTGGCCTTCATGCCTTCAACTGCCTCCCCAAAGACAACCACCATTACCAGTTTCATATTTAGGCTTCCAGAAATATCCTCTGCACATGTTGGAGAGTGTGTGTGTGTGTGTGTGTGTGTGTGTGTGTGTGTGTATAGAATCACCTTCCTTTTATACAAATGAGAATCCACTTTAGACAATTATTACAAACTGCTTTTTTTCACCTTTAAACATACTGGAGATTTAGATACATATAGATCTCAGTTTTGTTTTTAGTAGTTTCATAACATCTTGCTGTACGGATATACCCAAACGTTTAACCTGGCCCCCTGGTGGCAGGTTACCTTATGTAATGTTCGGCTTCTATTTATAATGCTGCAATGAAAATACTCATACTGTACAACTTCGGGCATGTGTGTGGCAATTTCTGTTGTTGTTTCCCTGTGTTACTTTCTCTAACCCTTTGTTTGTCTCAGAACCTCTTCTGAGCTTTTTATGGGCTCTTCAGTGGTCTGTATGCCTCTGTGTCCCCTCGCACCCAGGCAGTGGCAAATAGAGACCATGACACCAAAGCCGCCAGCTTGGGAGCCAGGTGTCCGTGACTGACCCAGAGCTGCTCCACACTGTGCTATTTCAGGCTTTTAGGACATGGGACTGTGGCATCTCAGCATTGGAAGAGAGAGACCTTAGAGCTCCACTTATTCAACTCCTGGTACCTGAATCCCCTCTAACACTAGCAGTGGCATCCTTATTGAGTACATTCCCATAGGTCATTACAATATTGCCTCCAAGTGAGGGTCCAGTGTGGGAACACCTCTTGAGTTAGTTTTTTCAGCTCAGAGGCGCTGACTGCTGGAAACACCCCCCTCACGCTGTGCTGAAGATCTTTTAGAACATTTAAAAGTATAATGGCAGACAGCACATCCTGCTTATATGTGAACGCAGGATCCACCTGTTAGTCGACTAACACTGGACAAGTTACTGCGCCTCAGCTTCCTTATTTGAGAAACAGGGAAAATAACCTTACAACCTCTGTACAGGTTAGATGTTAATACGTGAAAATTTTTTTACAGTGCCTGGCATAAAGAATGTACATCATATTTTATATATAAACATATTGTGTAATATTGTTATATATCATAATATCATATATAATTATATGTCATAAATACTCAAATTACATCATATACATGCATATATACATATATTGTTATTATTATACTGTTCTTGCTACTGTAACTTAACAGGGACAAAACTCAATAGAGAGTGAAGACTTCAAGAATAAATCTTACTGGGAAGAAAATGAATGATCTTTGCCTTGTATGATCCATGTGCTTTACATGGCATCTGACTTAGGCTTCACAACAATATATATGAGATATATTGTCAACTCCTATTTTAAGGAGGATGAAACTAGGGCTCATGTCACCGGACAAGCTTCTCAAGGATCACTGACATAGTAAGTGGCGGAGGTGGCCTTATTTCAAAGGCATTAAACTGTGGTGACTTAAATTCCTACTGAGGTAGACACAGCTGGGACCAGCTCTTTCCCTGAGGAGCAGCTGGTACCACTGTCTTTTGGCCTGAGGAAGGGTGTGGATGAGAGAATGCATGGGTGACTGAAGAGGAAGAGTCTTGGAGGAACAGGGCTCTAAGACGTGAGAGTGTGGGGCTGCTAAGGCCCCAGGCGATGGGAAGGACGTGGGCCCCCCTGCCCCCGCTTTATTCCCCTTCAGTGCATATTCCGGCTCCACATTCAGATGCCTTCAACTTCAAGGTCCTTGGCCAGAGACAGACCCTTCTGCCCGCTGTGAGCTGCTTTCCCCTCCTGGGACTGTGTGGCTGCAAGTCCCTGCGTGTCCCCTACTCCCAGCAGTCTCCTGTACTAGCTGAGCAACCTCTCCTGCCTTAAAACCTTTTCCTTGCACAATGGAATGACTTACTGGCTTCCTGCCAAGACCAAAATAGTCTGGGCTCTATTTATCTGCTCTGAACTCACAAAGGACTGGGAGCGTCACAGTAAAAGCTTCAGTGCTCTTGAATTTGGATGAGCCCGTGCTCACCAAATACACTTGCTTTTTAAATCTCTTTTTGAAGTAAGCTGAGGTGAGGAGGGGAACATCATGCATAGATAGGAATGGAAAGCTTTGGGTTTTTAGTCTTGGTCATAAGCTTCAGGGGCTTCCCAGGTGGATCAGTGATAAAAGAATCCGCCTGACAATGCAGGAGATGTGGTTCGATCCCTGGGTTGGAAAGATTCCCTGGAGTAGGAAATTTCCAACATTCCTGCCTAGAAAATCCCATGGACAGAGGAGCCTGGCAGGCTGCAGTCCATGGAGTTGCAGAGAGTTGGACACGACTGAATGAGCATGCACGCATAAGCCTCAGAAAATTACTATGCATGGGGGGGGAATGACTCAGATGGTAACCTGCTATGATAAGCAGCTTATTCACAGGATCTAAGCACCTAGGTTTCCCTGTAACTACAATGGGACACTTAGATGTACTGGTCACCAGAACCCCATTGACTGGCCACCACAGCTTTACACCTTACCTCCACAATAGGATATTTCTTGGCCCAAGTGCTATTTGCTGGATCTGGAATTTCTTTGCTACACCACTGAGGTCTGAGGGCCAAAAGGAGAACAAATACCCTGCAGGTAAAGACAACATGACATCTGGTTAAGTGTGCACACAGTGGCTTCGGAACACAGGTTCTTAGTGAAGTGATTTCAACGCAGGTTTATGCAAATGAATAAAATGTAAGTACTGCAGGAGAAAGATGTTGCCTCACCTAAGGCTGGACTAGTTTTCTATGAAGTCTGGACAGATGATAAAGCTTGTACCACAACCACTTAATGGTTTGCCAAATAAACTATGGAACTTTCCCTCAGTATGATGTTTAGCTATTACTGAGCAGCCAAGTACTCATTCAACAGACATTGACTGAATCCCTAATGTATGACCAGCACAGTGCCATATGCTGCGTGGATAAAACAGCAAATAAGAGGACATGGTCAATACCCTTGGGGAGATTACTTTTTAGTAAATTAGAATGTTTATAAAGAGCTTATAATGGCAAATAAACTGTTTTGCTAAAAGTAAATCAAGAGTAAAACAGGATATAAGTGGCATAAACAGCTCGGACATAACCAAGCTTAAGAAATAAAAAGCCAAGAAAAAAATACCATATGGAAATATCCAACAGTAGTTGTATTTGGTGATCAGAGGGTCTTTTATTTCTTTCCACATCTCTGGGTTTTTGAAGATACTTTAAGATGAGTTTATGATGTGGAAGAAAAAAAATCCAAAAAATGTTTCCTACATGCACATGACTTAACTATTTTGACTTTTTTTTAAAATTCAAGAGCAATATGAAGCAGTTTTAAAGATGTGGCTTTAATAAATTTTGTTTAATAAGAAAAGTGAGCTGCTATGATGTGTTTAGCCCTTTGAAACGAGATGAGGCCATGTGACTAGGTTTGTTTTGTTTTCTTTTTTTGGTGACTAGGTTTTTTTTTTTTCCCCCAAAGAAACATGAGCAAAGGTTCCTGTGACCTAGTATAGATCATGCAGATGAGGAAAGTACCCAGAGGATTGTGGGCCAATAAAATGGAAGACAACTGGATCCCTAAATGGCTGTGTAGAGCAGAGCTGATGACCAATCAGGATGACACACCTTAGAATTATTATATGGGAGAAAAATAAGCTATTTTATTAAAGCCACTATATTTGCAGGTTCTTCTTTTTTTTTTTTTCTGTAACAGCAGATGCCTCCACCCTAACTGATACTGTTTCCCTCAGGAGGATGCATGGGATTCTACTTGACTATGAGTGCAACTTTTTCAAAGTCTACCTAAAAAGAGCTCTGCTTTGAAATACGTATCACATGTGAGAGAGCGTTGATAAATGGAAAGCCTTTCAAACAAGCTCAGTGGCCAGTAGAAAATGACTTTGAGGTGGTTTTACTGTGACCTCTTCTCCTGCTTTACACAACATCTGAAGAGAACTATTGAATAACTAATTCATCTAAAAAATTCTCCATACCAAATGGTACATGTTTAAAGAAATTTTAGAAACTGTAGTTAAACAGAGCTAAGATCACCTATGATTATATCCCCCTGTTATAACCACCATCAATATTTTAGTGTATATGCTTAGGGAGGAGTATATTAACTGCCATCTAGTACACATTTTCCCCTCCTTTTTGGAAGGGGACCCTGATTTACTGGGACAACAAGGAGCCCAGCTAAAAGGTCACAGTTTTAAGCATCTCTCACCTCATCAAGTTTTGGCCAATGAGATGTAATGGAAAGTGTCACGTGTGACTTCTTCACATGAAGGCTCCTGAAGAGGCAGGTATGGACACTTCCTTTCTCCCTGGAGTTGCAGAATGCAGGCATAATGGCCACAGTTCCTGCAGCCGCTGGGCCATGAGGTGAACTTGAGGATAGAAGCCAATATCGGGACAGTACAGCAGAGAAAGGAGCCTAGGTCCCTGATGACTAGGGAGCTCCTACACCAGTCGTTACCTGAGTTTACTTCCTTTATCTGAGTGAGAAGCTTAGCTCATCTGTCATATTATTTTGGCTTTTTAAGTTATATACAACCAAATTTAATGCTCACTAATACATCTTACATGTCTGTGTGCATGTGTATATGCACTATTATTTTTTAAAAAATGAAAGTACATTTTGTTTTACAACCTGCTTTTTATTTTTTTTTTACAACCTGCTTTTTAAAATGCCATATAACATATATTCATATGATTTACTTTTCTTCTACATCTTTAATGAGTGCATAGTATGCTATATGGCTTAAAATATTTTGTGATTTATTTATCCAATTCCATGTTATCAGGCATTTAGGTTGCTTCAAATTGTTCTCCTTTTATGAACAATACTTCAGTGAACATATTTGCCACTAAATATCTGTATATACCTATGATATACTTAGAATAAATTTCTAGTTAGAAATTGCTAGGGAAAAGGTTTAATGTTTTAAAAAGTTAAACATATACTGTCACTCCAAAAAGCTGAATAGTCTGCTACCAACAATGTATGAAAAAACCATTTTTTTGACCCGTAGCAGCAACAGCTATTATATGAAAAAGAAAAAAAACAACTTTTACCAAAGGCGGCAGATGTAATGAACTTACTTTTGTCGGAAGCAACGCATTGAGAGAATGCCCACCATGATGACAGCCGTGCAGATACTTGGCGCCACAAATGCGCTCCAATTGGCTTTGCCTGCAGCAAAAAGTGAGCAAACCCTGTGACTGAGTTTAGAATCAGTTTAGAAATGTCCTCAATGAACATTTCTAAATACTGATTGTGGGATCTCCCCAGTGGTCCAGTGGCTTGGCGACTCTGTGCTTCCAATGCAGGGGGCCCCGGTTCGATCACTGGTCAGGGTACTAGATCCCACGTGCTTCAACTAGGAGTTCACATGCCACAACTAAAGATCTTGCATGCTGCAATTAGGACCCAGCATAGCTAAGTAAATGAGTAAATAAGTAAATACTGACAGTTGGGTGAACTCCCTGGGCCTTACAGCTCCTGCGTAGCTGGACTCAGGAACAAGGCTGACTCACTTTTGCCCATTTGGTTAGGGAGAAAGGGCACACGGGCCAATCCTATGGTTCTAACAGAGGAGCTCCAATCCTGCAAGGGCTCCTTCCTCTACTAGGGGCAGAAGGAAAGGAAGTGTGGTATACAAAGCACTGGCTGTGACCTGGGAGCCCTGGAGTCTTGTCCTGGCTCTGCCACTGGCTGATGTGTGGACCTCAGATAATTGATCTATAAATGGTGAATGATAACATCTACCTTGCAAGTTGTTGTGAACATTAGAGATGGTGTATTTAAAGCACATAGCCATGTATCTGAACATAGAAGTCCTCAAGAAATGGTAGCTATTAGTTTTACCAAGCCATTGAATAAGCCCTCTAACTTGTGTCTTTGAAATTGTTCTGATTCCTTCCTATAAACAATATTTCACTATGTATTGGAATTTTTCATTAATTCATTCAACATTTAGAGTGTAAACAAACTAACAGGACAGGTTAAATGCTGGAATACACAGATGAATAGGACATGGGCTTTGTTGTCTTAAGAAGTCATGAAGATAGTCCAGATGACTGATGTATAAAGATGGAAACAGTAAACTATGATGCCATGGGATACATGTAAAGACAGCATGTATGAGGCACTGCTGCAGAAAACAACATGGGAAACGGTTTCATGAGCAGCTCAGGAAGGTTTCCCCAAAGGCAGGATGTCAAAAGTTTAGAGCTGGATGGCTAGAAGTCAGCTATGTGGACAAGCTAGGCAAGTGCAGACAGACTAGCAGAGTAGGCATGGCAGGAGGAAGCAGAGAGTGCTTCAGCAACCACAGGTAGTCTGGTCTTGCTTTCTAGTACGAATGATGAGTGCGTGGCAGAGGATGGAGCTCGACAGGTGAACGGGACCAGGTCATGCACGGTCTGGTAACAAAGCAGTTTTAATTCTAGCTTGAAAGCCCTTGGGAACCATGGATGGGTTGCAACAGGAGGTAGAATGTCAGCAACAGGGATCTTGTAGAAAGATTCTTCTTTTGAGAGAGTGAAGAACGGGTGTGCAGGGGGCACTAGTGGCCAGAGACCTGCTACTCCCCTGAGAAGGGTTGTTCCTAGAGCTGAACAGGGGAATTAACACTGGCAGTCTTGTTACCACCCCACACAACTGGCACAATCTGACATTTCTTTAGCATCTGCTTTGCTTTCTGGGCAGATGAGACAAGTCTGGAGTACCAGGAGCAGAAAGATGCTGAGTCCTTAATCCAATTAACTGCTCGCAAGTTTACTTTCATGCGAGTGCTGGGAGATGAGTTGAGTTGTCAGTTTTCCCAGTGGAGAAGTATCTAGCATAGGGTCCTGAATGATGAACTTGGTAGTCCTCGTCACAAACAAGAATAGCTTGTCTTATGCTTGGAGCAGATAGAGAACAGTGTGACTTAGCTGGTAGGAGAGAAACCCATGTTAGCTGGGCCACTTCTTCACATATTCAAATTCAACTTAAACTCAAATCTGAGTCTGATTTGTAGTTCTTCCACTTGTCACCTCTATGACCCTGGGTCATCGTTCTGTACCTCATACCTATAAAAAGACACCCTAATCCCTCATTCCTTCATTGATTTCATATGGAGTGCCTGGTAGTGTGCTTGGTATAGGCATGCAACACAGCTGCAGTCAGGATTAAATGAGTGAAAGTATGTGTCACATGGGGTGAATTGTGTCCTCCACCCTGAAATTCATATGTTGAAGTCTTAACTTCCAATTCTTCAAAAAGTGACCTTATTTGGAAATAGGGTCATTGCAGAGGCTATTAGTTAAGATAAGGTCAGACTGGAGTAGTTCAGCTCAATTCAGTTCAGTTGCTCAGTTGTGTCCAACTCTTTGCGATCCCATGAATCACAGCACGCCAGGCCTCCCTGTCCATCACCAACTCCCAGAGTTTACTCAAGCTCATGTCCATTGAGTCAGTGATTCCATCCAACCATCTCACCCTCTGTCGTCCCCTTCTCCTCCTGCCTTCAATCTCTCCCAGCATCAGGGTCTTTTCAGATGAGTCAGCTTTTCACATCAGGTGGCCAAAATATTGGAGTTTCAGCTTCAGCATCAGTCCTTCCAATGAATATTCAGGACTGATTTCCTTTAGGATGGACTGCTTGGATCTCCTCGCTGTCCAAGGGACTCTCAAGAGTCTTATCCAACACCACAGCTCAAAAGCATCAATTCTTTGGCACTCAGCTTTCTTTATAGTCCAATTCTCACATCCATACATGACTACTGGAAAAACCATAGCCTTGACTAGACGGACCTTTGTTGACAAAACAATGTCTCTGCTTTTTAATATGCCATCTAGGTTGGTTATAACTTTCCTTCCAAGGAGTAAGTGTCTTTTAATTTCATGGCTGCAGTCACCATCTGCAGTGATTTTGGAGCCCAAAAAGTAAAGTCTGTCACTGTTTCCACCATTTCTCCATCTATTTGCCATAAAGTGATGGGACCAAATGCCATGATCTTAGTTTTCTGAATGTTGAGCTTTAAGCCAACTTTTTCACTCTCTTCTTTCACTTTCATCAAGAGGCTCTTTAGTTCTTCTTTGCTTTCTGCCATAAGTGTGGTGTCATCTGCATATCTGAGGTTATTGATATTTCTCCTGGAAATCTTGATTCCAGCTTGTGCTTCATCCAGCCCAGCGTTTCTCATGATGTACTCTGCATATAAGTTAAATAAACAGGGTGACAATATATGGTCTTGATGTACTCCTTTCCCTATTTAGAACTGGGCAAAAAAAGATCTTCACTACCCAGATAATCATGATGGTATGATCACTCACCTAGAGCCAGACATCCCATGTGAAGTCAAGTGGGCCTTAGGAAGCATCACTATGAACAAAGCTAGAGGAGGTGATGGAATTCCAGTTGAGCTAGTTCAAATCCGATAAGATGATGCTGTGAAAGTGCTTCACTCAATATGCCAGCAAATTTGGAAAACTCAGCAGTGGCCACAGGACTGGAAAAGGATTCATTCCCATCCCAAAGAAAGGCAATGCCAAAGAATGCTCAAACTAGCACACAATTGCACTCATCTCACATGCTAGTAAAGTAATGCTCAAAATTCTCCAAGCCAGGCTTCAGCAGTAGATGAACTATGAACTTCCAGATGTTCAAGCTGTTTTTAGAAAAGGCAGAGGGACCAGGAGCCAGAGATTGCCCCCAGATGTGAGGTGAGAGCTGTGGGACAGATTCTGTCACAGCCCTCAAAAGAAGCCAACTCTGCTGACACCGTGTTCTCAGACTTGCAGCCTCCTGAACTGTGAGGAAATTAATCTCTGTTGTTTAAGCTACTTGGTTATTGTTCAAGGTTTCTGGCACACAAAATATAGTGTGCAAAGTGCTTAACACAGTGCCTGGAGCATGATAACTATCTGATATGCAAAAGTTGTTTAAAAAAGTAAGATCATGGCATCCAGTCTCATCACTTCATGGCAAACGGAAGGGGGAAAAGTGGAGGCAGTGACAGATTTCATTTTCTTGGGCTCCATATCACTGTGGAGGTGACTTCAGCCATGAAATTAAAAGACACTTGCTTCTTGGAAGAAAAGCTATGACAAACCTAGACAGCATATTAAAAAGCAGAGATATAGTTTTACTGACAAAGGTCCATATTGTCAAAGCTATGGTTTTTCCAGTCATGTATGGATGTGAGAGTTGGACCATAAAGATGGCTGCCAAAGAATTGATGGTTCTGAACTGTGGTGTTGGAGAAGACTCTGGAGAGTCCTTTAGACAGTGAGGAGATCCAACCAGTCCATCCTAAAGGAAATCAGTCCTGAATACTCATTGGAAAGACTGATGCTGAAGCTGAAGCTTCAACACTTTGGCCATCCGATGCAAAGAGCACACTCACTGGAAAAGACCCCAATGCTGGGAAAGATTGAGGGCAGGAGGAGAAGAGGGCAACAGAGGATGAGATGGTTGGATAGCATCATGGACTCAATGGACATGAGTTCAAGCAAACTCAGGGAAATAGTGAAGGACAGGGAAGCCTGGGGTGCTACAGTTCAAGGAGTTGCAAAGAGTTGGACAATAGTCAAGAGATGTATCCTTGTTGGGATTATGCTCATCTTTCACTGAACAGATAATCAGAGGACAAGTACTATGTGCTGGGTGGTATTCCAGACCTTGGTAATAAGTGATAGACACTAGTTCCTGCCTGTTGGATTCAGAGTTTTGAATAGGGGTCAAGCATAGTGCATTATGAAGAAAATATGGATGTGCATTTGGGAAGACTTTCTGGAGGAGGCAACATTTTTGCTGAGTTTTGAAAACTGAGTAGAGACTGTCTCCAAGCAGGTAATAAAATGGTAGGGCACTCTGTTTAGAGGAAATGGCAAACACAAAAGTGTAGCAGCAAGCAAGTAACTAGTGAATTAAAGGAAGTCTGATCATCTCTCTATCACATAGTGGGAGTGTACTCCTCTGGAGGGACCCAGGGGACTTGCCCTGTGTAAGGGTGGTTCTTACCTTGCAGACAAAATTCTCTTTCATTTCCTTGGGGGCTTTCACCGGCAGCTGTCAGAGCTGTCATCCACAGAACATATGTCACTCTGGGCTGCAGGCTGTCTATGGGATGTGAATTTGGGGAGATTCTGTAGGGAATTTCTGAAGGGAAGATAAATATAAAGGAGGAAAGGCATGCATTAAAGGAAATTCTTGAATGTGGGCTTTTATTCATATTTATTTGCTAATGTTTCATTTAACTTGAAAAAGAAAAGCACACTGCTGTTTTAAAATAGTCCTAATTCATTAGTACTTAATACTTTAAAAGACCCTAGACACTATCATTTATGAGGTGCCATGTCACAGCATATCAAAAGAATTAAATTTTTTTTCTGTGATAAAAATCTTTTCAAAGAATGTGTATTATTTTGCTTTTGAAATTACTTAGCTGTAGTAACTCCTTTTATTTCCTATAATTATAATGTTTCTGACATTTATCAGGTATATTTGAGAACTCCTGGGGAGGAAATTAAATGTACAAATTGTTTTCAATAGAATTTTCAAGAAATTCCATTTCTTAGAAATTTGTGCATTTATCAATTAATGAAATAGACACTTAGATTACATTTATTAATTCTGATTTCCTTTTTTTTTTTTTGATAAGTTCTGGGTATTGGTCTTGGTGGGTTTAATCTCTGATCTGCTTCAATTTGACATAAAATCTAAAAAATGAGAGCAACAGTACTTAGATTTATTTTGGTAGTTTAAGCCTAGATTGTCAATTCTTTATACTTTCAACACCCCTGCAGGTTCTCAGCAGGGAATATTTGGTTTTTGAGCAATGTGTTGATGAAGTTTTTCTCCTCCAAGAAACATGAATGTCGGTAGCCTTTAGTAAACAGTCAGTCTCCTCCTCCAGGGATCTACTGGGTGTGAGTTTCAGAGTGAGCTCTCAAAAACTGAGGGGAACTGTAAAATTAAGGCTGGAACTTCCACAGGTGTAGCTTACTTGCTCAGCAGACTTGTCCATGTGCTGGTGATCAAAGTGAAAACCAGAACACAGCACTGTGTGCCTCAACATCATTTATGGGCTTACAAATCCCAGAGTGGGGCTTCCCAGCTGGTGCAGTGGTAAAGAATACGCCTGCGAATGCAGGAGATGCCAGTTTGATCCCTGGGTCGGGAAGATTCCCCTGGAGAAGGAAATGGCAACACACTCCAGTATTCTTGCCTGGAAAATTCCATGCACAAAGGAGCCTGGTGGGCTACAGTCCATGTGGCCACAAAGACTGAATGACTGAGCACACACAAATCCTAGGGCAAATTAGATTTTTCCCCCTGCTTGCTAAATTTATTTCAACAGTCATACATATTTATTATTCATACAAGGCACTAAGACACAGAGTATGCCTCAAAGAGTTCACCATCTATTAATAGTAGGGATAACAGACCCCATGACACTCCCACACCCCTGCTTACTATGGGTGACCAGCAAGATGGAGCCCTGTATTATTGAGTTCACTCTGCCCAAAGGTGCTAAGGCCTCAGCAGATCATTTAACAGCTGTGACTATCAGAGCAATTCCTATATTTTACATCCTTTTGAGAAAAAGTACCATGTGGAAAATTCCCAACCCTACGTCAACCTGATGAAATTGCTTGCACAGACTTCAGCTTTATGATTAAACTAAATTGCATCTCATTCCCAAGGCAGGGAACCAAAAAAAATAATTTGAGAGAGACTTTCTGCTCATCATGCTGCAGCAAAGCATGCATGGTGAGCATCAGGGAGTCAAATGAGACCTTGGAACACAAGGGAATGTGTTTGAATAATTTTCTGAGCCAAAAATGTTTACATATATGCACACGCACACACATGCATATACTGTATATATTTGAAGAATAAAAACAGAAATTATGGGAGGAGCAGGGAGGAGAGTGATGGTGTCAGCAATCTGGTTGGCAAATAGGTTGAGTTGAGTAATGGGAGAAAGAAGTCATGAAGGAAATACTGGTTCTGCTGCCTCACCTGGGCTGTGATCTGGCAGAGATAAAGGAGGCCATTCAGTCCTTGGGTCTGAAACTTTAGGCTGATGATGGTTAAATGAGAAAGGCACCAGTTTAGGGAGAGGCTAATGGTTGCCAATTATCTGAAAGGTGACCAGTAAGAAGGTCAAGTGGTACTAGGCAAAATTGTTGTTGTTGTTTATTCGCTAAGTTGTGTCTGACTCTTTTGTGACCCTGTGGAATGTAGCCCACTCGGCTCCTCTGTCCATGGGATTCTCCAGGCAAGAATACTGGAATGGATTGCCATTTCCTTCTCCAGGGGATCTTCCCGACCCAGGGATTGAACCCACGTCTCCTGCATTGGCAGGCAGATTCTTTACCACAGAGCCACGAGGGAAGTGCACCAGGCAAAATAGTTGCATGGTTACTGGAAATTAGCTTTGATCTAATCATCTGCATTGGTTTAACAAAGAAGACAGTATTCACCCATTTGTTACTCAAAAAATACTGTTCGTATTAAACACCTACCGGATGCCTGGCTGTACTGCAGGTAAGGGGGAGACAATGGTGAACTAATAATCATGGTTTCTACCTTCATGTTGGCAAAACAGCCAAGTAATAACAAGTAGTCTGTGTGTGCCTGTACAGCAGTGCACATGCAGTACCAACACACTTCCAGAGGCGAGGCCGTGCTCTGGAATTGCCTGGGGAATGAAGACAGCCCACCCCAGGGCTGTCTCCTGTCCGGGCAGGTGAAGTGTTCTTACTGCACCCTACTTGCGCTGTTAGGGGCCAGGCCAGAAGACACCTAAGACAAGGGTCCTTCCTCCTGGGAACTCCATGCTACTTTTGCTGTTGTGGAGCCTTTCTGGTTTCTTTCTCCCTCCTCCACAACCTATTATCTCCTACCACTCTCTAGAAACTACCCTTGTGGATTCGCCAATGATTTCTGGTTGCCAAATGCAACAGGTAGTTGTCAGTCCTTGATTAAAGACTTTACATCACTTCCGTGTACTTTTCCATCACTCTGGGTAGACTGTGAGCTCTCTGAAGATAGGGAACAGGTCTTATTCATCTGTAAGTGCTAAGGGGGAAACTATCTAAACTGGTACAAAATAGGGTTTTGAATCTGCACCTTCTTCCTTTTAAACTTATTTTAAAATACCCTTACATAGACTTCAGATTCATCAGATTTGTTGCAAATAAGGTAGGTAATTTCTTCAACATCTACAAGAGCAGATTTTTTAGAACCATCTAACCATGTTGATCTGTTATAAGTAGACGTCTCAGTTTAAATTCTATAAAAATTAACATTTAAGGGGGAGCAAATTTCACATAAAGCATTCCAAATGGCCCAGGATGACATCAATTGATGAAGCACCTTTGGCAGTACATTTCAGAACTGACTTACGCTGACAGTGGGTAGCAGTTATGTTCAGTGATATGCTGCATTTAGAAATTGTGGATTATTAAGCAGATTATTGTAAGGTCTCATAGTGGAACACTATAGAACTATTAAAAAGAAGAATGAGAGAAGTCCGCATGGACTGATGTGGAAAGATCTCACTATGGATTGCTGTTTTTTGTTGTTTAGTTGCTAGTGAGAGGTAAAGGAAGGTACAGATCAGAATACAGATGGTTATCCCAAATGTATGCTAGTATATGCATTAGGTTTTCTTCTGGAAGAACACATAAAGAACTACTAACAGCATAAGTACAGAGGAAAGGATAATTCCCACTTTATATCTTTCTGAACTATGGATGGTTTTACCATATATAAGTATTATATAATAAAAAATTAATTAGCTTTAAATGTCATAACTTTTAGAAAAGCAATACAGCAGGTCTAAGGTCAAGAGAGAGGACCAGTTCCTCAAGTTTACCAGGTAAAAATCACTCTGCAGGCAGCACTCTGGCACCTATATGGCAGGTTGGCTTTGTTACATTCTTCTTGGACCCAATAATTCTCACTAAGGGATAAAATGGTTGCTTGTTTATGATAAATGCTCCTGAAAGAACTCTGGCTGCCTATAAATACGAAAGGGAGGTTCAAGCCAGGAAAAATAAAACAAAACTGCATAAATCAAAGATTAAAACATTAAATCTGGCAAGTGATTTGGAGCTGCTCAGTGAATGAGTGATGAAATCACTTGAGATAATGCTCTAGCCAGAATTTAATTGCTTCAGTATTATTGCATAATTATGGGTCATAAGGAGTTACTTAAATTGTATTTTATCCATTTAAGAAGAAAATAACATGCTATGATGGTATTTGCTAGTGTGGGGATTCAAAGGTTCTCCAGACGCATTCCCTGCAAACCTCAAGGGTCTATATAATGATATCCAAGTGACTTTATTGCTTTTTTTTTCTTTATTGCTTTTTGAAATGCTGTCTCCATGTAAGTGAGCTCCTTGAGAGCCTCATTCATTAACTTCAGTTCTTCCATTTGCTTGGCATGTAAGACATATTCAGTAACTTTGTGAGTGTGTATGTATGTTGAGATGTCTTTTATTTATCTTCATTCAGTTAACTTTACAAGTATTTATTGAGCATCAACTAAGTACTAGGTACAGCGCTAGCCCTTGCACACACTTGTGTTTTCCCAACATCTAAACAAGAAAGGCCCTGTTGCCTTTGTCTCTCACACATACCACAAAGCTGAGGCTGGGAGTTGGAGTCCCGTTCCTTCCAATATATCCTGTAATGGAGGATGCAGCCCATTTGCTCCTGGGCTGGAATTTCGTCCCATGAAATTAAAACGCTCCCCTTTTCCTCTGAGATGGCATTAATGTGGGGGCCACTCAGTGGTGCTGTGAAGTAGAACATAGGAGGCTTTTGTCACCCTCCAAATCCAAACCATTAAACTAGAGCACAATTGCACAAAAGATCCCAAGACTCACCTTTGTGCTCGGAGCTACCCCGGGTGGAGTTGCACCCTCCCTGGTCCCCTGCAAGCACGTGCACACGGATTTCATAACAGATGTAGGGTTTTATGTTTTCTGCAAGACATAAAGACAGAGGCTATTCCAGTTCAAAAAAGGGTTTAAACAAAACCACACAGACAACTTCTGAAACAAAACTCACCTTTAAGGAAAAACTTCGACTTCTACAAATAAATTATTTGCTGTTTACAGGAAAATAAGGTTGGTGTTTTGGAGGCATAGCACTTGAATGGCTCTTCTGATTCCCCAGATACTTATCATGATCTGACAGGGCGGCGTAGGTGACACATTCCAGTGTAATTAATCAGGGTGCCACTCAGTGTAATCTACCCCTTTGCCCCACCCTGCCAGCCCCCCACCACGCGCCCCCCAACCCCTGCCATGTTCCACTCAGATCTCAGTTGCTTCACAGCTTGGAAGACTGGGAAGATACCTGAGGATGCTAATACTCCTTCATATCTTTTAAAGTGCTACCCTTTGCAGTTTTCTGTCAGTCATAAGGTTTATTGGCACTCTTCCCTGCCCAAACTCCTTATTTCCATGAATCTCAAATGTTAACTTCCTGTAAAGAAAAGTCCCCTCTCATAGATACTGCCCATGACTTATCTTTAAACTCCCAATGAAAATGTAAAGGAAAAAGATTATTTCTATCAGATAACTAACTGTAGTCTCATGTGGTCAGAGGAAGGACTCTCTCCCACATTGTTCAATGCCCTGCCGTTGGTAGATTGGGTCCCTTACACTGACAATTGATTAGGGTTTCGCATTTTCTTTTTTGGAAGAGGAATTTTATATCACAGAATACTTTACTAAATAGTGTATTTTCTATAAAAATCCATTCAGTTCAGTTCAGTTCAGTCGCTCAGTCATGTCCAACTCTTTGCGACCCCATGAATCGTAGCACGCCAGGCCTCCCTGTCCATCACCAACTCCCGGAGTTTACTCAAACTCATGTCCATCGAGTCGGTGATGCCATCCAGCCATCTCATCCTCTGTCGTCCCCTTCTCCTGCCCCCAATCCCTCCCAGCATCAGGGTCTTTTCCAATGAGTCAACTCTTCGTATGAGGTGGCCAAAGTATCGGAGTTTCAGCTTCAGCATCAGTCCTTCCAATGAACACCCAGGACTGATTTCTTTTAGGATGGACTTGTTGGATCTCCTCGCTGTCCAAGGGACTCTCAAGCGTCTTCTCCAACACCACAGTTCAAAAGCATCAATTTTTCGGCTCTCAGCTTTCTTCACAGTCCAACTCTCACATCCATACATGACCACTGGAAAAACCATAGCCTTGACCAGACGGACCTTTGTTGGCAAAGTAATATCTCTGCTTTTTAATATGCTATCTAGGTTGGTCATAACTTTCCTTCCAAGGAGTAAGCGTCTTTTAATTTCATGGCTGCAGTCACCATCTGCAGTGATTCTAGAGCCCAAAAAATAAAGTCTAACACTGTTTCCACTGTTTCCCCATCTATTTGCCATGAAGTGATGGGGCCAGATACCATGATCTTAGTTTTCTGAATGTTGAGCTTTAAGCCAACTTTTTCACACTCCTCTTTCACTTTCATCAAGAGGCTTTTTAGTTCCTCTTCACTTTCTGCCATAAGGGTGGTGTCATCTGCATATCTGAGGTTATTGATATTTCTCCCGGCAATCTTGATTCCAGCTTGTGCTTCTTCCAGCCCAGTGTTTCTCATGATGTACTCTGCATAGAAGTTAAATAAGCAGGGTGACAATGTACAGCCTTGACGTACTCCTTTTCCTTTTTTTTATCCTTAAATATTCCAGCAAGTAGGTAGTACATAAAGCCAAAATGTGCAACTACTACTGTCCATGAGGAAATCAAAACTCATGCCATGAGCAAGTTCCAATTCATATTCATGAGCCAAGTGAAGTAGAACAAGGCTGCAATCAGCCTAGCCCTGTCATCCAAAGATGCTTTGTGGGTGGCATCCAGACCCAGAAATCCAAAGGGCAACATGGAATATGGAATCGCTTCATTTGGGAGGGGCTGGTTCCTGGCAGCTCTGTTGCTAGTTCTGGAAGGGACCTATCAAACACAGTGCCACATGGAAGTTCCAGATGAGCACATTAGGCAAATGGTTTCCTTGCATTTTGCCATGCAAGGTGTGAGTTCAGGGGAGAGGTCTTGGGAACTGTGGCATCAGAAACTTTGGGCTTCTTGTGAATAGCCTGCCCCTTGTGGAGGAGGGCAGGCTTCCCTTGTGGCTCAGATAGATGGTAAAGAGTCTACCTGCAATGCAGGAGATGGGTTCATTCCTGGGTTGGGAAGATCCCCTGGAGGAGGCCATGGCAATCCGTTCCAGTATTCTTGCCTGGAGAATCCCATGGACAGAGCAGCCTGGTGGGCTATAGTCCATGGGGTCAAAAAGAGTCCGACATGACTGAGCAACTAACACATGGAGGAGGGAAGAAAATGTGGCTCCATAACTTAGCTGACACTTTCTTTTTTATGGAGAGTAGAGCCCGAGCAAGCTTGTTCCCCAGTTCTAACCTTAAGAACAACTCCTGTTTTCCTGGCTAATTCTTACATGTGTATATATGTGTGCTCAGTCAGTCATGTCTGACTCTGCAATCCCGTGGCCTGTAGACTGGAGGCTCCTCTGTCCATGGAATTTTCCAGTCAAGAATGTTGGAGTGGGTTGCCATTGCCTACTCCAGGGGAGCTTCCCAACTCAGGGATCGAACCTACCTCTCTTGGGTCTCCGGCATGAACACACCCTAATCACTGCCTGCTCCCCACCTCAGAAATTCGTTAGCCTTTGCTGCTGGTGGATGAAGCCCATACTCTTAACGTTTTCATTTCTTGTTAGAGTCTGGCCCTGACTTCCAGGCCTGTTTCTCAGGACTCCCATGCATACACATACACCTAGCACTCCTGGGCAAAGGCTCTGTCTCCCTATTCGTAAACTGTCTCTCAAGTGGTTTTCCTGTGGAAAGCTAATGTCACCTATTAAGTCTGGGAGAAGGCAAACACGAAATGATCAGCAATGAGAAGTAATCACAGAGGAAGTATGATGAGAGCATACAGAAGATAAGCCCCAATAGCTAGGCATGAGGGGAGGTTTTCTAGACACCATGATGTCTACGTATCTGTAAAAGGAATGGTTATATAATAAGGTCAGACCTGTTTTCACCTAGACAAGACAGGACTAACAGTCTCTAGCCTAGACCCCACCAGCTTATAATCCAGGAGTTGAACTTCACTGTAGCCCGTCTCAAATCACCCAACTCTACCCCAGCTAGATGCCGGGAAAAAACTGGTAAGGATCTTATGGCAATGAGTTATCTTACTGATTGGAGAGGGTAACTTTGAATTCATGATAAGCATGAATTAGTTAAGTTTTAAGTGTTTATTTCCAGAATGTTACATCAAAACAAACTCATAGTTAATCAAGTGTTTTCAGGTAGAAGAATGACTTGAATTAACAGTTAATCTCATCCAGTATTATTGATTTTATTCAAATGAATATGTCTGAATTGCTTAAGAACATTTTAGTTTCCTAAATGTGGAAAAAATTCTCTCTTGTCATTTATTTTAGGCACTGTGTATAGAATTAATAGAATTTCTAAAAAGAAAGGTCTGTAGGGACTGTATAGTTCAAACTATCCCAAAGGGGTAAATCCTAATACAATAAGGGTTTACAATTATATAGCAGTTTAGAGTTTAGTATCTGCTGCTTCATCTGATTTGATGGACATACAATCATAAAGGGCTTCCCATTAGCTCAGTGGTAAAGAATATGCCTGCCAGTGCAGGAGATGCAGGAGACGCAGGTTTGATCCCTGGGTCGGGAAGATCACCTGGAGGAGGAAATGGCAATACACTGCAGTATTCTTGCCGGGGGAAATCCCATGGACAGAGGAGCCTAGTGGGCTACAGTCCACAGGGTCGCAGAGTCAGACATGACTGAGCACACACTCACATACACACACACCCTTAAAGGAACATTGATTCCACTTCAGCAACTCGGGACAGAGAACGCGCTGCCTTGAGTGGCAATCAACTGTCCTATTAGAGACCATCAACTGTAAGGGAAGTACTTTCTCAAAATTGAGCTGACATCTGTCTTCATACAATTTTTATGCAGAGGGCCTTCATTCTGCTCTCCAGAACAACAAAGGACACATACTCTTTCTTACATACATATCGAAGTCAGCAAGAGTCATCAACCACCTCCCACCCCAATCTAGAATACTCTTCTACATGCTAAACAGTTTCCCCATTAAAAGTTTCAGACCCTAAAGGCTTGCTCACCTTCCTCTGATGCTCATGGGGTTATCCAGGCAGCATTCTCTTTAAGTACAGTGATTAGAACTGAACACAACCCACTAGAAGTCTGAATAGCTAGACTCTAAAAGAGGCACACAGTTAAGGTCTGGTTCATGTATTATCATGCACCACGCTCTGTTTATTTCTGTGAAAATCTTGTCTCCTCAAGCAGGGTGTGTATATCCTCCTGGACAGGTATAATGGTTGTCATGGTGTAATGAAAATATTATGGGATTTAGAGTTTCAAAACCTATAAAATCTTAGCTCCATCACATATAATAATAATCATGATAGCTAGATTATCGAGCACTTTAAATGTGTTAGGTATTGTTAAAAATGTTTTGTCCTTCAATTAGTCTTCACAATAACCCAGTGAGGTAGGTAATATTACCCCCACTTTCCAGATAAGGAAACTGAGGCACAGAGAAGTTAATTTGCCCTGGATCATACACTTTGATAAGTGACAGAGCCAGGACTCAAACCCAGATAATCTGGCTGCAGAACTTTTCATCACTATGCTGAACTTATACTTTAAAAATCACATTAACATTTTTAACACATTAAATGAGCACATCCATTGCCATACAGAAAACACATTTATCAACATTGTAAGGGAATACTTCTCAGTGCTCTGTGGTAACCTAAATGGGAAGAAAATTTAAAAAAAGAGGGGCTATATATTGGGTTGGCCAAGGAGTTCATTCAGGTTTCCTGTAATATAGAAATATATGCATAGCTGATTCACTTTGCTATTAGTAGAAACTAACATAACATTGTAAAGCAAGTATATGCCAATAAAAATAAATAAAAAATTAATTTGGGGTGATCTGCTGACCTAGATTTGCATTAATAATCTCATGATGATTTCGATTTATTATAGAACAACAATTAGTAGGAGAAAAATAGAAGGAGAAAAATATTGTAGTTTTGGCTTCTGAATGTGTCAGCACATGTGCGTGCACACACACACACAGAGACACATGTGCCTTGTTCATTGAAATTCATCCTGGAAGATTTTCAAGCAAGTGACCATCTAACTAGCTTAACTCTAGCATGCAAATAATACCATTTCTCTTTGGGAAAATTAAAATAAGAAATTTCCACTAATTGGTTTTGGGTAACATTCATTGGTAATAAGGGGGGGCCTTTGAGTATTTCAAACACAAAACAATATTAGAAGCTGACAGTGGCTCAGAGTAAGACTTCAGAGTTTGTGAATTAAGAACTTGAAAAAAATAAAGAACTTGAGACGTTGCCCTTTAATGTCTGTTTGGCAAATATATCAGCCACCTCTGGTTCGGTTAGGACTAGATCTCTCTAACAGAAGAGGTTAAGGATTCTTTTCACCGGTTAGAAATAGCAAGTCCCATTTAGGAACTGCTTCCATGACAGCATAAGGGTAAGCATCAGATTCTGATAGGAGGAAGACACACACCACTGCAATCATTTATCAAAATGATTAAACAAGCCTTCGGCTGCCTTGTTTTCCAATTGTCCAGTGTTGCTTATAGGCTCCCTGAGTGGCTCAGTGGTAAAGAATTCACCTGCCAATGCACGAGATGTAGGTTTGATCCTTGGGTCTGGGAAGATCCTCTGGAGGAGGAAATGGCAACCCACTTCAGTATTCCTGCTTGGGAAATTTCATAGACAGAGGACCCTGGTAGGCTACACTCCATGGGGTTGCAAAGTGTCAGACATGACTTAGCAACTAAACAACAATAACAACAATGTTGCTCATGCACAGGATTAAATGACTATTTATGACATTTCTTTCCAGTTTAAATTCATATTGTATGATAGAGAAATTTAAGATGTACTCCAAGGATAAAATGAAATTAAAAAAAAAACCACTGGTTAACTTCTGTCCAATCGTTTGAATGCATTTTCAGATGCTTTCTATCACTTGATACATGGAACCACTGACAGATTTGGAATTTGAGGACGACAGAAACCAACACTCATACAGATAATTCTGGGTTTATTATCACACAAACAATAAGTAGCAAAATTGGAAATGAAAGATCTCCTGGTTTCCGCATATGTAATAACGGGGGAAATAACTCTTGCTACACATGATTTTTCTCACAATTAAATGAACTCCCAAATGTAAGGTGTCCATCACGCTGACTGGCTTTTACTTAGCTCTGAGCCATGCTTGTTGGGTTCATTATTTACTCATCATACATGGCACTGTCCCAGGCACATGAGTTTTCCATAAATCCTAGAGGTTTTAGTCAATCAGTGGGTTTTCTATGGCTGCAGTGGTGCACTCTGATGGGCTCTAGGTCATCACTGCCCGTCTTCTCATGAAGCGGTAACTGAGAGCAAGGCTCTGGGTTCCTGCCTGAAGTTTCCTTGAAAAATGTGAACTTAGTAACCCTTGAGAAGGAAGGTGAATATGAAGTACCTGAAATCAGAGCAGACAGGCTGTAGGGGGTACTCCACAACCAGCCAAGAGGGGGCTGCATGCCGCCCCCTGGGTGGAACTCCCTCCACTCCACCACGTATTTCTGCACAGCAGGGGCAGATTTCTCTGGAGGTGTCCACGTCACCATGAGCTTGTCCATGCCTTCTGACTTTGCAAAGACCTGTTGAGGAGCCAGCAACTCTTTATAGGGAAAGGTGGGGGGGAAAAAAAACAAAATCACAGTGGACACAGATATAAAAAACAACCACCCAACCCAGCAAAGTTGCAGCAAGAACTGATCTCTTTTAAAGGACTTCAGGTTCACAGATTTTGTTCAACCAGCTTCTCAGTTCTTGGAGAACAGGCATCAGTGCCAGGACCCTATGTAGTGTTACTTATGGAATTATTTCCCCTTCATCTTCCATTTCACTTTCCATTTCTGTGTCCCCAAAGGTACCTGCTCTAGTGATCTATAATATGCATCCTTCTAATCTACCTCCCTGGAGAAGGCAATGGCACCCCACTCCACTACTCTTGCCTGGAAAATCCCATGGACGGAGGAGCCTGGTGGGCTGCAGTCCATGGGGTCACTAAGAGTCGGACACGACTAAGCGACTTCACTTTCATTTTTCACCTTCATGCATTGGAGAAGGAAATGGCAACCCATTCCAGTATTCTTGCCTGGAGAATCCCCAGGGACGGGGGAGCCTGGTGGGCTGCTGTCTATGGGGTCGCACAGAGTCGGACACGACTGAAGTGACTTAGCAGCAGCAATCTATCTCCTATATGTTTATAGGACACATATATGTGTGTCCTTGAGAATTAGCATTGCTTTCAGTTCGTGTGTCGTATTTTCATGAAACACATTTGCAGTAAATCTAGTGCTTTTCCTAACTTTCATTTTCCCACTCAACAGTATGTTTCTAGGATACATCTATTCTGCTGCTATATGAAAATCAAGCTCATCCCTTCAGATTACTGCCTCAACACTTTCTTTGTGCAGTCTCCAAGTGACAAGCAATAGTTTTCTTCAAACTTTTTGTCAACACAAACAAGGATGCAATGAACCTTCTCTTGCATGTCCTTGTGTATGCCTGTCTAAGAGTGTCTCTCTCATCCTCTTACACTGTTGGTAAGAATGTAAATTGGTATAGCCACTGTGGAGAACAGTACAGAGGTTCCTTAAAAAACTAAAACTAAAGCTACCATATGACCCAGCAATCCCACTCCTGGGCAAAGATCTAGAGAAAACCATAATTTGAAAGGATTTATGTACTCAGATATTCATTGCAGTACTATTTACAATAGCCAGGACATGGAAGCAACCTCAGTGTCTACTGACAGATGAATGGATAAAGAAGATGTGGCACGTATATACAACAGAATATTACTCAGCCATAAAAAAGGAACGAAATAATGCCATTTGCAGTGACATGGTTGGACCTAGAGATTGTCATACAGAATGAAGTAAGTCAAAAAGAGAAAGACAAATATCATATAATATCACTTATATGTGGAATCTAGAAAAATGGTTCACATGAACTTATTTGCAAATCAGAAATAGAGTCATAGATTAGAAAACAAATTTATGGTCACCAAGGAGGAGGGACGGGATGAATTGGTAGACTGGGATTAACATATACACACTACTATATATAAAATAGCTGACTAATAAGAACCTATTGTATAGCACAGGGAACTATACTCAATGTTTTGTGATGACCTAAATGAGAAGGAAATCTAACAGAAGAGTATTGCTCAGTCGCTAAGTCGTCTCTGACTCTTTGTGACCCCATGGACTGCAGCATGCCATGCTTCCCTGTCCTTCACTATCTCCCAGAGTTTGCTCAAACTCATGTACATTGAGACAGTGATGCCATACAACCATCTCATCCTCTGTTGCCCTCTTTTCCTCTTGTCCTCAATCTTTCCCAGCATCAGATGGTCAAAGAATTGGAGTTTCAGCTTCAGCATCAGCCTTCCAATGAATATTCAGGGTTGATTTCTTTAGGAGTGACTGGTTTGACCTCCTTGTTGTCCAAGGGATTCTCAAGAGTCTTCTCCAGCACAATTTAAAAGCATCAGTTCTTTGGCACTCAGCCTTCTTTATGGTCCAATTCTCACATCCATACATGACTATTAGAAAAACCATAGCTTTGACAATATGGACCTTTGTCAGTAAAGCGATGTCTCCACTTTTTAATACACTGTCTAGGTTTGTCATAGCCTTTCTTTCAAGGAGCAAGCGTCTTTTAATTTCATGACTGCAGTAACTGTTCACAGTGATTTTGGAGCCTAAAAAAATAAAATCTGCCCCTGTTTCCACTTTTTCCCCATCTATTTGCTATGAAGTAATGGGACCAGGTGCCATGATCTTAGTATTTTGAATGTTGAATTTTAAGCAGCTTTTCCACTCTCCTCTTTCACTTTCATCAAGAGGCTCTTTAGTTCCTGTTCGTTTTCTGCCTTTAGGATAGTGTCATCTGCATATCTGAGGCTGTTGGATTTTCTCCTGGCAAACTTGATTCCAGTTTGTGATTCATCCAACTCAGCATTGTGCATGATGTACTCTGCTTATAAGTTAAATAAGCAGGGTGACAATATACTGTCATGACTCTTTTCCCAAATTTGAACCAGTGTGGAGTGGATATACATATATGTATTATATGACTGATTCACTTTGCTATACAGAAACTAACACAACATTGCAGAGCAACTACAGTTTTTTAAAATAGACTCTCTCTCTACATATAAATGCACACAATTTCTCAATTACAAACTAAATTCACCCATTTCCCTAAATATGGTCAGACCGATCTCTAAAACAGTAATCAGTTGATTCTCCAACAAGAAAAGCATGAGAGTTCTCATTTCCCCACCAACACTTGGTATTTTCTTTCTCATTTTCCCAAGCTGGCACATGTAAGGCGATATTCAATTGTGGTTTTATTGTCGTTTTCTGATTTCTTATGAGGCTGAGCTCTTCACATATTATTAGCTGTCTGACTTTCCCCTTCTCATACCTCACTCATTTTTTTTTCTGTTGTATTTCCTGTCTTCTTCCTGATTTGCAGAAATAACTTTTGTATTCTAGATATCAATCACTTGTTAGTTTTCAACACTAAAAATATCTCACTGAAGTCTTTCAAGTCTCTGTTAATTTTATGATGTGTTTGTTTAACATAAACACTTACTTTGATGTGGATAAATTCACCACAGTTTGTGTATTTTGAGTCTTGTTTATAAAATCCTTCCATTCTGGGGTCACAAAGATACTTGACTACATTTCCTCCCATTTGCTTTTGGTTTTATTTAATACCTTTCACATTTAGGTTTTTAATCCAAATCTAGCTAAAGGGTCTGTGTGTGTGTGTTTTTTTTTTTTTAAAGGAAATAAGCCTTATTATTTTTTCCACAAAACAGGTCAATTTTTCCAAATGTGGTACTACCCCTGCCACACACTAAGCTCCACATATTCATGGGTTTGTGTGTGGATCAGTTTCTTCACCAGAACACACTGGTCACATTACAAGGCTCTGTGACACCTGACTATTTGGTAGTTAAAGTCCCTCCTCATTTTGCTCTTCTTTTTTTCAAAGTGATCTTGGGTATTCATGAAACTTTATTCTTCCATATAGCTCTTATAATCAGTTTATGAGAGTCCTCAAAAATTTCAGCTGGTATTTTTATTGGGATTATATTAAATTTACAGCTCAGTTCAGGGAGAATTCATATTGTTACAATGTTAAGTTGTCCCATTTATAAATATGATGTTTCTTTGAAGCTGTTTGGGTCTCTTTTGATATCTTTTAATGGAGTTTCAAAAATTCCTCCTTAAAGTTTTAATGTGCTTTTTATGGTTAATCCCTAGACACATTATACTATTAGTTTGCTATTTAAATGGGATATTATTTTCTACTTCTTTTCCACTATGAATTTGTGTGTGTTATTCTTATTCTAGCTGACCTGCTAAACTCTCTAATTAGTTCTCATAATTTGTCTATGGCCTTTGTTAAATTTTCCATGTAATAATCTTGTTAGCTGTACTTAACAATCTCTTCTTTCCAATCTTTGAACTAAATCTCCTTTTTTTTTAAATCTTGTTGCTAATTTTAAAAAGAATGTTCCTACATATCTTTATTAAGATGATGCTTGCTGCATGTTTTTGGTAGAAAGTCTTTAAAAAGCTAAAAAGTTTTCCTTTTTTTATAGCTTTCAAATAGGTTTTATTTTTATAAAATACTATTTACTAAAAATTTTGTTTTATTAAATACATTTCTATATCTGTTAAGAACATATCCCTCTTTTCTCCTTCAGTATTAAAGTAATGAATTATATTGATAGACTTTTCTGATATTGATCCATCTTTGTATTCTTGAGGGCAACCCTGCTTGATCATTCTGCACTCATTATCTTTTCTTATTTCTTCTTAAAATAGACTTTTTTTAAAAGCAGTTTTAAGTTCAAAGCAAAATTGAGTGAGAGGTACAGACATTTTCCACACACCCCTGACCCCATACACGCATCACTTCCCCCATTATTGACATCCTGCACCAGAGCAGTACATTCTGTAAGATTCTTGATAAATATTTTCAAATATTCTCCCCTTTCATTCATGTTTTCTCTTACTGGGGCTCCTTTTAGGCAATTATCATTACTTATTCTTTCAATGTCTTAAGTCTTCTCATTTTTCAAACTTTTTCCTTTTTGATGACTTTTAAGTTTCTCACCCAATCTTCCCCTCACTCATTCACTCTTCAGATAAGTCCTTTCTGCTATCCAACCCATTGGGTGAGTTCTTTATTTCAACAACTGAATTTTTCATATTGAATCTCTATTTGGGGCTATTCCACAACCACCTGTTTCTGATTTGTGTTCCCAGTATCCTCTCTATCTTTCTAAGGATACTTACTATGCTTACTCTAAACTCTGATTTATTCAATTATTTCTGGTTGCACTGGGTGTTTGTTACAGTGAGCATGCTTTCTCTAGTAGCAGTGAGCAGGGGGCTGCTCTTAGTAGCAGTGAAGGGCTTCTCTCCTGCCGCAAAGCAGGGTCTCTAGGCACACGGCTTACAGCCTCACTACAGGGCTTTAGTCATTACAGCACATGAGCTCAGTGGTTGTGGCGCATGGGCTTTAGTTGCTCCACAGCATGTGGAATCTTCCTGGACCAGGGATTGAACCCATGTCCCCTGCATT